AATAACGACCTCTTTGATTGGTTCATATATTAAAAAGCTTTTACACAACTAATGGTGTTCTGCAGAATCTGCATCTCACATGATTGTGATTCATGGACTCTCCCGAGACCGGTCTCTCTGTGTATAAAAATCATCAAATGGTTTTGGTGTTCCGAGATGCTATGGATGTTTTAACTAAGAAGTGAGATGATTAACATTCATGGAGGAAAATTCCATGATCAGAGCTTGCAATGGGAAACAACACTCTAATCAGTGTCACTGTCCCAGAGATTGATCCTCCCAACCAGAACCTACGACACCATCATAAATTCAGAGAGAAAGTGTAATGTTTGATATTTTGTCAACTTCGCTAATCGATGTAAATATTTTCTTGTTTTTCTTCGAAATGTAATCACAAAAGATGTTATTAGTCGTTTTAATTTGAGTTTGAGTTAATCATTGAACATAACACTGAAGTATGTGTAGAACTTTGGTATAAATTCTTAATATTACAATCAAGTTTAAAGCCTCAATTTCATGCCTCACGAGGACATAAAAAATGATTTGTAGTACAGAATCAACCGCCAAAATGATTGGTTCAAGCTTCAAATCCAAGAAACACCAATGCCTTCACTTCCTCAAGCTCTGTTCCTCAATTAAACAACTTTTACAGATCCACGGCCAAATCTATGTCTCTGCTCTCCAAGCTGATAGCTTTATCATCAGCGAGCTTGTACGTGTTTCTTCACTATCTCAAGCCAAAGACCTTGCCTTTGCGCGAACCCTTCTGCTTCACTCATCTGATTCGACTCCTTCTACTTGGAATATGCTTAGTAGAGGCTATTCTTCGAGTGATTCTCCTGTAGAATCGATTTGGGTTTACTCTGAGATGAAGAGACGACGAATCAAACCAAACAAGCTCACTTTTCCTTTTCTTCTCAAGGCTTGCGCTTCCTTTTTCGGTCTTACTGCCGGGAGACAGATTCAAGTTGAGGTTTTGAAACATGGGTTTGATTCTGATGTGTATGTTGGGAACAATCTGATTCATGTATATGGTTCTTGTAAGAAAACTTGTGATGCCAGAAAGGTGTTCGACGAAATGACTGAGAGAAAGGTTGTTTCTTGGAACTCTATCATGACTGCTCTCGTCGAGAATGGTAAGTTCAATTTGGCGATTGAGTGTTATCTCGAGATGATCGGTAGGCGGTTTTGTCCGGATGAGACGACAATGGTGGTTTTGCTCTCCGCGTGTGCTGGTAATTTGAGCTTGGGAAAATTGGTGCATTCACAGGTGATGGTAAGAGAGTTAGAGTTAAACTGTAGACTAGGTACTGCACTTGTCGACATGTATGCAAAATCTGGTGGATTAGAGTATGGTAGGTTTGTTTTCGAAAGAATGTATGACAAAAATGTATGGGCTTGGAGCGCAATGATTGTAGGATTAGCACAATACGGATTCGCAGAAGAAGCCCTTCAGCTTTTCTCGAAGATGATGAAGGAATCATTGGTGAGACCAAACTATGTGACATTTCTCGGTGTTTTATGCGCTTGTAGCCACACGGGATTGGTGGATGATGGGTACAAATACTTCCACGAGATGGAGAAAACACACAAGATCAAGCCAATGATGATTCACTATGGAGCAATGGTAGATATCTTGGGACGCGCAGGCCGACTAAACGAGGCGTATGACTTCATAAAGAAAATGCCTTTTGAGCCTGATGCGGTTGTTTGGAGGACTCTACTCTCAGCTTGCAGTATCCATCACGAGAAAGATGATGAGGGAATTGGAGAGAAAGTAAAGAAGAGATTGATTGAGTTAGAGCCAAAGAGGAGTGGGAATTTGGTGATTGTGGCGAATAGATTCGCGGAAGCGAGGATGTGGGACGAGGCAGCAGAAGTTAGGAGGGTAATGAAGGAAAGTAAGATTAAGAAGATAGCTGGTGAGAGTTTTCTGGAGCTGGGAGGGTCAGTTCATAGATTCTTCTCAGGATATGATCCTCGTTCTGATTATGCATCCATCTATGAGTTATTAGATTTGTTCAAGTTTCACTTGACATGTGATCATCATTTGGTGTCTACTGATGATCCAAATTCATATTCTTAACCTCTCGTCTTAATTTTGACAGTATTGATTCAACATTTAACATTTTCTGAAGGCAATGAAAGGCAATGAAGGCAATGAAAGTGTAATTTTCTTGATTTTTTTTTTTGTAACTAATATAATCCAACCATTTGGTCATTTTTGTATGTGTTTACAAAGATTGTTAATTAAATATATTTTCTTACAAAAGTTATCATCAATTATACCATGTTTTTCTTATAAATTCAAGAACAATTAGAATCAATCTTACTTTTTATTTTTTTTCAGATATGTAGTGTAAAATTTGATATACGCACATGGAAGTATAAAATCAAAATTGGAAAATATGAATGGATGTGCAATTGGAGCTACAATTAAAAAACGTAGCCAATGGCAATATGGCATATCCAATGGAAGATTCTCAATTCTCGTCCTATATAGTGAGTGATTGGTTCGGCTGTAGCTGTAGATTAATTGCTGTAGAATTTTTGTTGTAAATGTTTTGGCTGTACCTGTACATTTTTTAGGCTGTACATTTTTAGGCTGCAGATTTTTTTGCTATACATATTAAGCTGTAGCTGTAATATTAAAATAAAAACACGATTGGTAACTATAAGATATGTGCTGTAGTTTTAATTAAATTAATTTATGCAAATAAAAATTGTTATAATTTAGAAATTTTATGTTGATTTGAACATAATAAATAATGAACTTCTGAATCATTCATAATAAGTAACATCATTAAAAAAATCCAACAATCCTAAAAAAATAACGTTTAAAATCTTGAAAACTTATGAGTTCTTAGAGAAATATATTATAATAAAATTATTATTACCTACGAGCATTCCATAAACTCATTGCAATCTCATCCCGAAATATATTATAATAAAATTATTATTACCTATGAAAATAAGAAGACGTGTTTCTTCAAACCTTTGTGACGGCA